CAATTTAAAAACCCATTGTTCTTCTGGTTTCAACTGTTATGGCATCGAAAACAATATATTATTTTGATGTGATAACAATTTTACTGTCATAAATGTACAAACTATAATTAAAATTGTAAATGTTTTTAAATGTATTATAGTCAACACAAATAACCAATTATAGGATAGAGCAAAAATATTATTCATTGGTATCTTTAGATATGTGTACGCATAATCAGTTCTATACAAAGTGTTGCCATAATATTATTATGTTCAGCCCAACGCGTAAAATCAACCGGCAATATGGTAGGTATAATATTATATGACACGGCTGCTGCCAACCATTGCCACCGCTACACACCTACGCCGACCCACAACAACCACCGTGTTTTCCGCATTGACATCCAGCCCCCACCACAAATCCGATACAAATTTGTTCTACAAAACGTTATTAATAACGATGTCATGAATCCTGAATTTAACGACGAACCGAACCGAACTGTTTTTTTTTTTTAATTGAACGAACTCTAACCGAAACCGCCTAGTAAATTGTAACAATTATAATTATATAAATTAAATACTATTTAAATTTTATACTAAAAGGCATAAGAAATATTATGTTGATACAACTATGACGAAATATACCAAAAAATTGAATTTATACCACGACAAAATTCCGTATTGTTTTTTAATAATTTATTTGTCAAATTTAGTACAAATTTTGATTTTGTAAGTTCGATTTTCCAACCAAACTAAACACCCCAAGTTTTGTTCGGTTTGGTTTCAAAATTAAACAGTTCGTAAACATCATTATAAAATTATTCTATAGGTAATATTTAATGTATAATAATAACAGTAGTAATAAAAACAATAGTTTATGTAATGTGCTGTGTATGTGCCATGTTGAAAATAACTTAAACTCGATTATTATCAAGTGACACTATTGTATTGTTCTGTGGTCAATGGAAATACATATATAAAGCTACTAAATACTAATAGTTGGCATGTATCAATTTAAAGTTCATTGAAATCATCGATAGATGTAAAAATAAAGCAATAATTAAATTGCATCAAACATGTTTTTTAGAAATGTGTTGATTTTTTGTTAAAAATAGAAATATATGACAATTAAAAAAAAAATGTATTATAACTAATTAAACATTATAAAGTCAACTCATACTGAAATATTTTATTTAAAACCACAAAAATAGTCTACTTAAAAAAAATAGCAGCAGATAAAATAAAACAAAGTACGGAAGCACATCTAGATTAAAAAAATCTATGGGAACAATTGGTGTGGTATTATTTTACGTGAATAAATGTTAAGGATTCAATATGTACTAAAAATCGTAGCTGTTATATTTCAAAACAGTTTTGGATCAAATCTCTTGTGGTAATATTAATGAAAGAATCAAAGAAATAATTATTAAGCTATACTAGGTAATTTGTGCTTTCACTTTGCCTGATATAATATCTCTTGGATGTTGGAACTTGGCACTTGGCAGTAACACAATATAAAAGCGTGTCGCTCAAAAATTTATTTTATTTTATGATGAAAATAAATGCTGACGATCGTCCCAAACGCCACACCTGCATTGAATTCACTGCCGACAAATTATGTTTCTTAGATTCTAAGAATGAATGACACATTTTTGGAAATCATACAATTGTAAGACATTTTTTTCTTTTATTAGAAAATCCACCAAAAACTGACAATGTGAATTGGCGATCATCAAGCAATAATAATATTACACACTGTATTGGACGGTCCTGCAACGTAGTATCTATTATATCATAAAATACATGTACAAAGGATTGGTCACAAATGTCGAGTGTTTGGTACGTTTACCCCGAGTACCTGCACGCTCGGTCTCACAATATTATTATTATTATACGTGATCAAAATAACGTAATTCGACAACGGTGTTCAGTCCACAAATATACGTAATAATATATCTAGCAACTCTGTAAAAATTTAAAATATATTCGTTCAGTTTTTATCGAACTTTTTAACAAATGAATTCCTCTATAGAATAAATATGATTTTAGCCCATTGAACTTCCCCAAAAATTAAATTTTAACAAAAATTCCATTATTGACGTATTTCTGCATAATAAATATACGTACCTATATGTTTGGGATAAGCTCAGTGGACGACCAAATACATTTCGTCCAACCCACAGTTTGTATTATAGAAATGTTTAATAAATTATTTGCATCGTAATATAAATACATCTACTCTAGGGTATTGCCATATTTTATTTTACTTAGACCTGGGAAAATATTTTGGTATAATTTTTATGGGAAAAGTTATACTAATCCTCTACTCCGCTGGATAACCTCCAGTCTTAACACACTATTTGTTTGTAACTATAGAACACCACACACAATGATTAGCACTCGACGACATATACGATTGTAAGGCAAAAACTAACTCAATGTTCCAAACCGAAAGGAGTAACTGACAAAATCATTAATTGTTAGTATGACAACTCTAATACATTCTAATTAAATTTTAAAATTACACATAACTATTTTATAGCAATATAACATACTAAGAACATACCTAAATACCTAGTACAAACTAAATAAATATGACGTATCTAATCCATTTAAGATTAAACTTTTCTTTCGAGTAAAATACAAAGCATAAGATTTTAACGGAAATGGACAATTTGTTAAAAACTTAAAAATGAAATATTTTATAGGTTGCTACTGTAGAATTTTGTACCTTTCTCTATAAATGTTCTTTTGTCGTACTATACAAATTTATAAATTGTATACCATACATAGATTCGTAGACTAAATTATGTCATTCTACTGTTGTTGGGTCTGTATCGACCCGATAGTAATTCGAAAGAACATTAAAATGACATAAATGCATAAATATTAAATATGTATAAAATGTATAAAATGTTATACTATAAAGTATTAGTAAATTACTATGTTGAATAGGATGCAATGTATACAAAAAAATTTCAAACTCTTTGTTTGCTGATGAACAAAAGTAAAGAGAATTCCTTAACGAAATTAAATCGACCATAATCGACATCCATGTTAAATGAAATATGTTGTTACCTACCTACCTACATAAGTTACCTACGCTCGACAGTAAATTAATTTGACTATTAATAGACGCCTGCAGGCAGTTATGGAACTGCGAGTTTGGACCACGATATCACAAAACATGTAGCTAAAAATATAGATATTAGTTATTAATTCGCTAATAAATTGGTACACCAGACTATAGTCACTGCAATATTATACAGGTTTGGCGGTAACCGTGGTAGGTATGTTTCTTGGCCGTAAACGGAGACCGCAGTTTGCGCATATTACCAACCTGTGAAAAAGCAGCGAGAGGGAAGATGCGTATTTCCTACACATATGAGGAAGACATTTTTCTGCCACGATTGACGGTATAGTGACGACCGCGACAGTCAGTGCTCAGCGACTGCAAACCAAACAGTGTCCGCGCCATAAACGATGAACGATGCATAGTTCTACGAAATATTCGTCGATTTCGCGTAACCGACAATGGGCTTCGGTGAAGAACATTATGGACAAGTCGTCGATTGTCGGAGAGAGAGAAAACCTCAGATTGTGGATACTGCAGAGGCCGATAGAACGGAAGGAATTTATTCATGGCTAGTGTTTTCGGGACCACATAACCGTAGCCAACAAAACGCCACCCATAAGTCATGAAATTGATTAATTTTTTTCCTCGTCTCAAATCGTAATTAATCACGGTTCATAACTCTATAAGCACGGACATTCAGTGGTACGTAATTTTAATTTTGGGCATACAATTATAAAATGTTGATTATCATAATTTATTGTTTCATACTAATTTGTAAGGCAGCTTATAAAAGTATAACAATTAATAGTACGACCACACATGTTCGTAATTTTTTAGTGGGAAATCGATTCGTGCGAGAACGAACCAAGAAAACAAACAGTAAAAGATAAGATACAAAATAGTTATGTCTTAACATTCTTTATTTTGGTTTTTCAAACAGGAATACATTTTTTTACACAGTGGCATTGTAGTCACACTTAGACACTAGTCCTCTTTTTATAGTGATAATTTGGTTACTAATTTTCTTATTTCCGTGTGTCTTCTTAGTCAAAGCTGATTCCCCCATATTATTTCAAAACAACTGACAATGGCACTGACGTGGGACTATAGTCTATATGGACTATATATAGTACACATATGTATAGACATGTAAGTTGTAAGTGACTTTGAGAGTTAGTAATTACATTCTTAAATTTTCCAAAATATTATACACGTCAGTATGGTCTGCACGTCACGAATAGGGTGGCGTACTCTTAATCATTATTAGTAAAAAAAGTAATCCATGTCGAAAACTTAAACATTTTGAGACATAAGATACAAACACAGTGCGGCACTTAACCATTGGTATTTAGTGCCATCTGACTTTGGATTGGCTCTTACACGTCATCAGCTCGTGATGTTCTCCGTACCTATCTGTACTATACATCGTATACCATTAAACCATTATACCATTGGTCTGGTATATAAAAACAGTTTCTCTGTTTCACAGTTACTGTGAAACCAAACGCTGCGAGTCCGACGGATGCTCTCTTTCTTTTTTGTTACTGTATAGATCTGTACGCCACAAGAGAAAATAATATCACTCGTGCATTGTTTGAAAAAAATTAACGCATTATTCGCGTATATAATATTATTATAGGTACATCATACTACCGAGATCGGTTTTTCCCCGTTTTTAAGTGTTAATAAAAGGGAAAAAATCATGGTGGCCCATCCGGTTCACGAAACAGCAGCTAGTGTTATTGAATACAGATAACATTCTGCACATGGATCGCGGTATCACCCATATATTTATTATATTATTATTATGTTATAGGAATATTGTGAAGATAATGTCGACGGCGTTACCACGAGACGGTGGCGCGCGCGCCATTGGCCGACCGCCGGGCGGCGCGCGTGGCCGTTAAAAAGTGGCGGGCGAACGCGGCGTGCACGTCTCGCGAGGCTTCCGACACGGAACGCGTCGGCAGTAGACTTGTACGCGGAGGCAGCGACGACGACGACGACGACGACAAAATTATTATTGCAGCGTGCTCCTTCGAATCCGATTGTTGTGTTTTTTTTTCACCGAAGATTTTTCCATTTTGGTTTCACACGATCTCCGCCGGCTAGACAATAGTTATATAATAATATTTAATATTATCCAAAGCCATCGTCGCCGTGACGATTTTACAACACGACACCGCGTGAGACGCTCTCCCTGCAGACGACGACGAAATCGCTATCGTCGGGTATATGACAATAATAATAATAATATTATAACAATATCAACTGCAGCCAAAAGTGTGAAAAATCGCGATTTTCTCGTTTCGGCGAGAAGCTCGCGTTGTACAACAGTAGTTGTACGCGTCGCCGTCGGCCGCGGCCAGGAGAAGCGCAAGTCGTCGTCGTCTCCACGATTTTATCGTCGTCATATACGTAAGTATATTAAACTAATATATAAAAATAATATTAGTAATGATTATTTATGGGATCATAATATTTTTGTATTGACGATTCACACGTAATAAGTCTTCGCTGAAGAAGCTAGAAAGTCCACGGCACAATTGTTATTATAAAAGACGCACTCATAAATCATTTATTATTAAACAACATTTTAAAACTATATGCTAGTAAAATATTATATTTTATAATATAGTAGAACTGTTTGGCGTGGGGTAGTAGTTAATAGGCGTATCTGCCCTACCACTTCACGATTTTTGTCTAAACTTTAAATGTAATCTTTAAATTTAATGATATATTATATTATATATGATATACGCTTTAGAGAACCTAATTACATTACGTGATGCGGATAATGGTATCACTATCATACATGCATATAAAAATAGGCTATTTCATCATTATTTAATATTATTTATATGTCAACCATTACAATTTTTTTATGAGACATTATCATGATAAAAATTAGTGTAATAACTAGTTTTAATTTTGAGGAAGTTATTGTTATTATGCACTTACCTAAAATATATAAAAAAATATTACTTACGAAACTCAAAACTTGTTTGGGGTGATGGATAATTTAATTTAAAAATAATCAGTGTGTGTTAATACCAAATATATGTAGGAAGCATGTAGGTAGTAAACACAGGAAGTGTTATTAAACTGTCAATAAGTACATTATATTATTATACAAACAATTTTAATAAAATTAATTGTTTCAATGTTCACCAAAATATATTTTTAAATAAAAGACAAACAATTATAAAAATTAAATAAATAATAGACTATAATATCATGCATTTATACTATAAGCGAGTAATCAAATTGTTATGTTGAGTAGATATTTAAAGATTAAAGATCAGATTTATTTGTAAATACCTACATATTTTCACTATGACATGTAAGCTAATTTCGGTAAGTGACAAAAACGTTACAGAAGATTTTTATAAAAAATTGATAAAGATAGATAGATAAAATGAGCTATATTTGATTTTACATGTTTTGTCATAAATACATGTTTTTATATATTATTTAACAATTTTTCAATTTTTTCTTACATATTTAGACAATTTTACTGTTTTAAAGTGTTTTCTCCAGAGCTAAAAGTGATTGAAAATGTATCATTAGTAAGCCAATACTTAATAGTTTACGACTTGTGTAGTATAATATAGTCGGTAAGATGGTGTCGACCGGTCATATTTTTGACGTGGCTATACGTATAAATCGGTATAAAGCAATTTCACACCAGAATCGACGATAGTTTAAGCATTTTTTAAATATTTTATAAAAAATTAAAAATGCATGTTGTTATAAATTACAATCAAGATAATTAGATAAATCATAATTTGTTTTATTACATTTTATTACATACATTATTTTTTTTTTTTTGATAATTCATATTTTAAACATTTTAGCACATATTTATGTGTAAATATAGTTTTGTTGTATAAAAACATAGTTTGGTTTTATAAATACATATAAATCCGAGTCCTTATAATTATAAACATTATAAATTATGATCGGCCTAAAAATAAGAAATATTATTTTCTTTGAGTACTGAGATTGGAATTTTTATTTTATCTCAATAAAAACTATGGAAATTCTTGATTTCTAGTTCTTGATTTTTATTATTAATGTTAAATGGTGACACAACGATTAATAAAATGTTTGAAATAAAATAGAAACATTTTTAATCGAAATTCTTATATTTATTATTACCATTTTTAACAAGGTACTTACTGTAAAAAAACAAAACCATTTGTTTGACAAATAAAACACTAATTTTTCAATAATATTGTATTCATCCACTAGCGGTATGCATTATATCACAATAATATAATTAAAAATAATTTTAAATTAGTTTCATAAAACGTCGCATAGCGTTACAAACATAAAACGTCTAAGAAAAAAAAAACGATCACGTTTAATATAGGATAAAATAGTTAAACATAATTCAATTACTCTTGGTTAGGATTTCAAGGAAGGAATTCGGACATCTCGCCCCCGCATCGTTCTTTTCACCACGGTACCGTATTTTTCGCTGTACTGGACATTATATACGGCGTTACGGTTAATGTTTGGTTTTTTTTCATTTTATCTAGGGTGTTTTTTACAACAAGTTGACAGTTATTTTCGATTTAAATTTTAGACTATCTGATCGAATGAAGCGAGCTAAGGATATAATCGGGTGTATTAGTAGATGCAAGTGCAATCGTGTAGTGTATATACAAAAATAAATAAAATATCATTACACGTGAATTGTATTGTGTTGTTTGGTGCCTGAGTAGTTCAATAATTAGTTTTTTTACGAAGCTTTCAACTCGTTTTAAAATTCAAAATTTGTGGAGAATGTTAAGTTTTCATCCAGTAATTTGATTGCATATATATTTTTTTATTTTTTTCTTGTGCAGTAAGTTTAACGGAACCGTCCTATTAATGTGATGTACGTATATATTTATTTCATCATATGACGTCTGTAAAACAATTACATCGAAAAAGAGTGAAATATCTTTCAAAGAATATATAATATTGAATTTTGAAATCTATTAATAATGTTAAAAGAATTTTATAAGAAAATGAAAAATCTCATAGATGATCACATAACTTCATAAATTAAATTACTCATTAATTTTGATTTTTTTTTTATGTCCTAGAGCACAAGAAGATTGTAAATAAAATATTTACTTATAAATTATAATAATGGAGTAAGAAAATATATTGAGAACTCTTATACTTGTAGCTTAAATATTATAATTTATAAATACAAAATATTATTATGTTATACTTGAAATGATTACGCTAAAACAAAATAAATACCGAAAAAACGGCGAGCAAATAAAGATACAAATGTTATACAGTTTATGTGTAATTTAAAAGCTTTTATTCGTAATGTAAATTAAAACTATATTATATAATATTATAATTGAGATATAATTTTAATTTTATCTATGTTAGTAGTGCTTTATTGGTATACTTATCAATTATACAGCCAAAGTTTACTAAACTTAAATTGCAGGATATCAAAATATTATTACCAGGGCTTAACAACTACAACCAGTGTAGTTGTTAGAGCTTAAGATTTTGTTAGACCAATATCGAAGTAAAATTTTTATAAAAAGCATAATATAGATATAATATAATTAAATGCTCAGTAGACGCCACATTGATTTACTTTGTGAATTGAAGTACAAGTGAGATATCGGAATATTGGTTTGGCAATATCATTATTTTTTATTAATAGAACATGAAATAGAATATGTAAGAATGCAAAAGAGAATATTTTTTATATCAATAATAATTATTAAAAATTAATTATTGTTTAAATTGCTTTTATAATGATTTAAATTAGCCTAAAATTGCAGATTTCAATATTTATCACTACCTACTATCATTAAACATTACCAGGCAATGCTTTACTATATTATAATATAACCTATAAATATTATTTCTTCTTGTTGAAATACAGAGATAATACTCTGGATAAAACAAAAAACACGATCAATTCTTTAAATCAATTTAAAAAATAAGCATCTCAATAATTTCTATTAAATATTTTACAATAAATTCGAAAAAAACATTTACCAATTTATTGGAATTATTTATTTATAACATATTGTTACAATCAGATTTTTTTTCTTTTTCCAAACAATGTGGTTATGTGTGATTTAATAATAGAAATGCATCAATGTAATTACTTATATTATATATTTTTATTTTATATTTTAAATTTCAGTAGTTTCTTTTGAATAAAAATGAATATGTATTAATTATGTTTCTATTGATGACAATCTTAAATAGTTATTAATTGATATAATTATATTTATGCTACCTACTTTTAATGAACACAATTGTCTTCACTTATAGTAATAAACTATTGTCAATTGGCATTCAACATCATGGAAGATAATAATATAGCAGGTATGTCATATTGATGACCAGAGTGAGTGACAATGTTTAATAAACTCAATTTTCTAATATAAATTGGTGGTCTTAAATTTTAGATTTGTTTTAACTTGTATTGTGTTTCAAATACAAATAATGTGTTCAATAAAAATAATACGCTTTTATTCTGAAGTTATAATATCAAAAATATCTTGTTTACTTTTGTTGTTTAATATTAAACACAAAATTTAATAATATTATAATGTAATATGCAATTAATTTGTAGCATATTTCAACACTGTCTTAGTATAAAATCTGGGTTAGTGAATCCAAACAATCACGTCCGGTTTATAAATCTATAAATTGTAATAAAAATATAAATGTTTTTTCAATAGTTTCTCCACTAACAAAACTGTGTACCTACATACTTTAGTTAGTTGCAACGTAAAAAGGTATACAATATACATCAAAGGTTACTTCTAATCTCACTTACCATAGTAAATTAGCCATAAATATTTATTTATTAAAAAAATTGTTTTTTAAATTATTTTTGTTCTTATTATTTATTATCTCATTCATAAGTAAATAGTTATTGAAGTACTTACTTGTCTTAAGAAAAATGAATCATAGGAGTTATTATGGAAGTGTAATAATGGCTAGGGCTCGGATTTATATGTATTTATAAAATCAAACTATGTATTTATACAACAAAATAATGTTCATAAATAAATGTGCTAAAAATTTCAAAATACCTTTGTATTATTAACAAATAATAATAATCATACTACAATAAAATGTAATTTAAAAATGATTATTTATCTAACTATCTTGATTGTAATTTACAATTAAAATTTTCAAATTCTATCATAAAATTGCTTTATACTGATTTATAAGTATAGCCGAGTCAAAAATACGTCCGGTCGGCACCACCGTACCGACGATATTATACTACAGAAGTCGTAAATTATTAAGTATTGGCTTACTTATGATAAGCTTTCAATCACTATGATTTCTGAAAAAAACGCTTAAAAATAGTAAAATTGTCTAAATATGTAAGAAAACATTGAATAATTGTGAAATATGTAAAAACATAT